ATCAGTCTGTAATGTGCTTGAAGGAGGAAGAGGAGGTAATAGCAGGACTTTAAATTGATTTTAATTGTAATATCATTACGTGTGTAGATGCTTTTGCTCAATTAATAGATGAAAAGGAGTTTAGGAGTTCACATTTTCAATGTGTCTATCAGTACCTGAGGAGACATATTAGCCATTCTCCATTAGACAGATTTTCTTATAATCCTAGAGTATTTGAAGGAGAAAATGTTGAATGTTTACAAGTCTTATTGAAGTATGACCTGTTTTAAAGTCATACATTTGTATTTTATAGTACTCAATTAACAAATTATAGGCAGTGTGGAGTGAAAGATCCATCATGGTCTGAATTAAAACATTTTGTTGATTTTCTCAATACTCAATTGAGATCTTGTGAAAGCTCAATATTCTGCAATGAAGATATTGTTGGGGATGTCATGCCTGGACTTAAGACTTTTGTAGTCAAGTTTATGATCAGAATGTCCAAGGTACATTGTTTATGCACTTTATCATCAAAACATTTCTAATTTTTATTACATTGTCTGATACCTATTGATGTCCTTATGTCTAGAAAGTTGGAGCTATTTTGACTTTAATTTTTTGAGTTACAGCCATTTTAGAAAAATTCCAAGATTTTGAAAAATACCAAAGGCTATATATAGCCTTGAGTTAAAAAAAAATGGCTCCATAAATACCCCAATTTTTACCTTCTTTAAAAGCCTGGAGCCTCTAAAAAGTATTGCAGTTCATTCAAGCATAGCTAGATTTTAAAGAGTTGCTGGCTTTTCTCAGTTTTAAGTGCTAAGATCTAAGTATGCACGACCCCACTCAAATTTTGGAGCACATGCTAATAATTAACAAAATGGCAGAATGAGGTAAGTTAACATGGTGTCAGAGGAAATTCGACAGGGTCAAAAGGGCACTTAATTAGCATCATGTGAGCCCTTATTAGAAATGGGAAACAGTTTTTGATTTGTGTACCCATAGTTTTTATTCCTCCAAATGTTTTCTAAAAGTATTTTAAGAAACTCGACCGTCTTATTAAAGTCCATATTACTATAGTCACAGTCTAAAAAATGCATAATTCATACCAGTCTGAGAATAAAACAACTTCAGTGGGCAAGGTTTCTATTACTCCAATCGATGACCCAACTCACGCAAACAAACAACTAGCCAAAGGACCTGAAAGGGCACCTTTTTAATTTTTATAGAGTTTTTTTTGAAAAGTTATGGACCTGTGCATGGATAGTTGGAGTAGAGTGGTGTAAAAATTAGCCATGTAGCATTGATCAAAAACCATGATACCCTCCATTAACTGGATTGACAGGAGATGATGAAGATGTCAGATGAAGATGAAAAAGTGGATTGGCCAATTTTTGACTTTCCTCTTATACACGGTTTAGAGCCACTCAAGTGGTACCAATGGAGTCCTCTGGCAGTGGCGTAGCTACACCCGGGCCTGGACCCAGGTATCAGATCCCAG